TTGAAGACTGGATAGAGCACATCTGACCTCGGAATTGCGTTTGAAAAGGACCAAACCCATGGAACTGTGAGATCTAGAGTTACACCCCCCATTGTGAGATCTAGAGTTACCCCACCGAACATTAAAATGTTTCCAATGTTAATATCATGTGCCCTAAGAATCTGGGCCCTCAAACACAGGGTTTGGTTCGGGTCCGGACCCCTGCGTTTCGATGTCGAGTCCAACCCTTCCGTTGGTGGAGGGCCCACGAATCCTTCGTGGGGTAAATACAAGAAAACACAACAAAAAACCCAGGACATCACAGCACATGTCAATTAATTAAAACGGTCCCAATGCTCCAAGCCACCGGGACTCGGCCACTCGACCAAGGCGCTGGGCGTTTCGCGGGCCTAGGACCTGTGACAGGTGAATCCAAGCCTGCTTGTGTGGGGAACAGGGGCAACAGAAGCATGTAACTACCTTCGTGCTTTTGGATGGCTTGTGAGTTATGATTGATTTTTATGGGCCAATTTGGATGGTTTTTCCCCACCTGTTAGGTGAGGGTTGTTAGATTTTATGTCCATCTCCTCCCTCTTCTTCTCCTTCTTCTCCTTCTCCTCCTCCACCTCCTCTGCCGGACCTCAACCATGACCATCCACGCCCAGTGTTCCCTGCCGGACCTCAACTACGACCATCCACGCCCAGTGTTCCCTGCCGGACCTCAACCATCCACGTCCAGTGTTCCCTGCCAGACCTCAACCACGACCGTCCACGCGCAGTGTTGACCTCAACCACGACCATCCACGCCCAATGTTCCCTGCCGGACCTCAACCGCGAGCTCCAGACCCAAGTGTTCCCTGCCGGACCTCAACCACGACCATCCACGTCCAGCCTGCCGGCCCTCAACTGCGAGCTCCAGGCCCAAGTGTTCCCTGCCGGACCTCAACCAGAGCACACAACCACAATCACAAACACATAACCACAAACACAACAACCACAAACACAACAACAAGCACACAACCACAAACACACAACCACAAACACAACAACAAGCACACAACCACAAACACACAATCACAAACACAACCACAAACACAACAACAAGCACACAACCACGAACACACAACCACAAACACACAATCACAAAGGCACAACCACAACCACAACTACAAACACACAATCACAAAGACACAACCACAACCACAACTACACAATCACAACCACTACCAGTACCACAAACCCAATCACAAACACACAGCCACAAACACAACCACAAACACAATCACAAACACACAGCCACAAACACAACCGCAAACACATCCACAAACACACAATCACAAACACACAGCCACAAACACACAATCACAAACATAACCAAAACCACAACACGGCACACAACCACAACCACAAATGATTGAAATGTCATGGTGGGGATCACTCGAAGTAGAGTAATTTGATGGACAATCCTAGGCAAACAGGAGTTTCATCCTGCAAGTGGCGTCTGTGATGTCTGGAGGATCCTATCACATCAGAGTGTGACATGTGAGGTGATGGGATCCTCAGCGTCGTGACGCTTTGGTGATAAACCGTCATTGCAAAAGTCTGTGAGAAACCGTCGCAAATCAGCCAAGCCTTACTAGGAGCAAGAAGCTACTAGGGGCTCCTGGCCGCTTCTTTTTGGTGTTTGCTCACCCCGAAAGGAACAACAGGTGCTCATCGCCTTCCCCCCCCCAGTCAGCTATGATCAAACTCAACGTGAGGCCATCTCCAACTCAAGAATCAAGCCACAGAAGCCACTGTTTTGATGATAATTGCAACCCTCCATATGAAAAAGAATATGTTTAACACAGATGTTTGTTTCAAGGAGTGACATACAGCTTCTAGCTTCTTGTTCCTAGTAGCGATGGCCTCCAACTTACTTACAATGGCCTCCACCAACAAACGCATCCGAACATGTCCGAACGCTCCGTTCGTAGCGATGCCCTTTGTTACTATCAAGAGTCTACGTCATACGCACTTCACCAGCCTTTTCCAAAACATCCACATCTCCAGCCCGGACAGCTGGAAGCAATGCCTGGTCGGACGGGGGCGTCTTCACGGGACGCCGAGACGCTTGCATCGGGTGAATCGGACAAGTTGCTGATGATTCACCTCAAGTGGTCCATGTGTTTTGAGAACTGGACCTTTCAGGTCACCCCCAACGGTCCACTTCTTGTTCAGTTGCTTGAGGGCGTTCCACAACGTGCATCGATTTTTGTTTGGTCACCTTTCATCATGTCAGTTCGAAGCAGCTTGACCTTGCTGAGTCCACAATTGGAAACCAGAACTGGGCTTCTTCAAGCAATTCTCAAACCTTGTACATATTGTTGTTCCGAGTCACTGATGAAGAATGGACCGGGTCCTCTTCAAGGCCTCTTCATTTGAACCAGCCATAACTGCCAACTCCAAGCGGGTTCCTCTAGCAAATGACCGCTTTTTTCAGCCTCAACACCAATCAGACACATCTGACCTCTGACGCGCGGCAGCTCATCGACCGGTCCCCTTGTCACCTCTGAAGTCGACTGTTTCAGACGACCACGCCCTCACCTGCAGGTCTGGAGCACTTCCGGTCAAACGCAGCAAGGACTCCATCATCTCCATCGTCTGGGGGCGCCCGCCGAACACGAGCCGTAGAGCCGGACCGGACACCAGGAACGACTGGCCGATCGGGTCCGGAGGTTGCGGAGGGTCCTTGGGGATGAAAGCTGAAAGCATAGAGTCCTTGCGGTGTCTCGGTTTAAGGCCCAGAAAACCTGCAAACCTGCTCAGCCAAGAGTTTCAGAATCCATGCACCACTATATCAACGTCAAACATGCAAGCTGCAAGCCACCCCAATTGCAACCATCAGCCATAGAATGTGGGAAAACACCCTAAGAAGCACCTAAAAAAACCTTTGCTGTTCATATCCAGTATTGGTCGAGTCGTCTACGAGTTTGACAAGCAACCTTTTCATACCAGTTGAATGGTTTTGTCTGATTCTCAAAAAGGGAAGACTTCGATGGTTTCCAAGCTCATGATGAGCGTATTCACCCGTCACTCTATTTTGGGGGCTAGAAGCGGACATATATTTTTGTGCACGTTTGAGGTCTGCTTTCCTGCTGTATCTCAACCTCTCACCATCGGTGTTTCCATGTTTCCCAGCCTCGTGCCCCCCGCGGTTGGCTCGACCGCGCTTGCGCTGCTTGCGGTTGCGTGTGAGCAAAGTGCTGATGGGAGGGATCCAGAAGCCAAAGTGCCTGGAAACTTGAACAAAGGACGGAAAGCACAGAAAGCACTCTTTCATGACACAGGCAATCTCCCCACTCTTAGTGAGTTAACAAGGCCGGTGGCACTTACTCTTCTGAAAACCTTCTAAGACCAGGATTTGATGCCTACGTATCTCTGCAGAGTTTGCCGCATGTTTCATTTGGAGCTCTTCCACATGGGGTCCGGCCTTCTTCCTCCTATACCTACAGAATAAAGGATGCGCCAACTAAATGGCCTATTCGGTTGTGCTGCCAACGGTTTTCTTTTTTTGGTGTAGGTCTAAAGAGGTCAGTGAAGAGTAGCACACCGCTGGGTGACGGTTTAACTCTTGCTTTCACCACCTACTACTTATTCTATTTGGTGCTTAACCATGTGCAAAGAGGGATCGCTCTGGGCCCCTGGTGATCCAGAATCAACGCCAACCTCTCCGTGAAAGTTCATAGAGCCAGGAGGGTACAAAATATGTTGGTGGCACCAAAAGTAGAAATCATGGCAGGAAGTCAATTGATCACCAATTGGTTTTTGGATGTTTTTTTGGGGTGTGTTTGAATTTGAGCCAAACGCACGCTCTGCCAACTACAACTGCTTCTCATGAGTGGTTCAGTTGGGGATCTTCAGGAAATAATGTGGATTCTCTCCTTGCTTTGAGAGGCCCGCCACTGCGCCGACCCCAATCATTCTGCACCGCTGGGAGAGTTTTCTGCAGGTCTGTTCTCGGTCCGCCTCCCCCAGAATCCGAGGTTTTTCGGGCCTCCACAGGCTCCAGCTCTGCCATCTCACACGCCAAAGCGCAGCCCCAGGAGTGGCCCAGCAAGATCCGACTGGCGAAGACACCGGTGGTCGACTCCCGGTCGCCGACCCCCGGTCGGCGTCAGTGAACGTCGGTCTGAATGTGAAGATCGGATCTGGAGACCAATCCATGCGCCATGACATGAAGTCCATTTATAAACCAATGAATCTTTGCAAAGTTGGGTTGAAAGTCGCCAAACGTCTCACAAAGCTCCAATGCTGTGTTCGTTCACCACATCTTGTGTGCCCGGGAAGCCAAAATGGGAGACTACTTTCCAAAGACATCTCCCCCGCTCCGCTCCGTAGAGAGAAAAGACATCAACACACCGACGAAGGCTGAGGTCCCTCCTGCCAGATCGCTCACCGGCGCAGTTCCAAAGCTCCTTGGCCAGGGTCTTGAGACTTCCAGCTTCCACACTCAGAAGGCCATCCACCACACGAGTCCGGCAGACCTCGACCGCGCCAAGGAAAGGTGGTGGGGAACAAGGCGAGACGGTGATCTCGGGTGGGGTGGGGTGTTGTGGGGTGGGGGTCATGCTTTCTCGTGGTGCAGGTTCAAGACACCTGACTCTGTCCTGAAGGTGGTTGGATTCCATATCCATGTTGAAACCCTTGATGCGACATTCTCCTCCCACAGCAATCCACTTTTTTTCACGGCCATAGCCACTTTCGGCGATACCTTTAGTGGCCGTTGGCCCTACACCTACTGTGTAATGATCTGCGTGCACAGGGAAATTTGAGAATATAACCGGGGGGAAGTGACATGTGTCACTGGGTCATGCTTGGTGAGAAACGAAGAATAGAAGAAACGTACCTAAACTGTACAACCTTTACAACTGCGTGCCTACTGTTGAAATTAAGGGGTGCTAAATCAGGTTCCCCTCCAATTGCAACTGTCTGCCTTCAGCTGCCAACATGACTTGCCTAGTTCAAGCAGGTGCTTGAGGGTCACTACCTGCAACTTCAAGCTGAGCCCTGAAAACATGGTCCTCGTAACATGGTCCTTTACCTAGGTGCTTGCTCCTGGTAGCGATGCCAGGAGCTACTAGTCGCCTCCTTGCTCCTAGGAATCCAAGCTGAAGACTTCACACCTGCCCGTGTCCCAGCTGCATGGTTCAGGGCCAAAGCCAATGGCCGATAGCCTTCCAAACCGACGCCACCATCGCCCGGGCAAAGGAGGAGCTCCCAAGGTTGCTCGCCTAAGCTGACTGAAGCAGTGCAAAGGAACCTCTATGGAATGTACGATACCAGGCCATATTCAGGGTGCTTTGTCCATGAGAAGTGATTCACCGGAAGTTCTCCTAGCTGCCACTGCTACGGGGAGATATCTTGCGGAATGCCCAATCTGGCAAGAGATGGGCTTGTTGTCTCCAAATAAGGGGATCCCCAACCAATGGCCAATGTACCAATGAACGTTAATGTTCATCTCCTTGGCGCGCCAGCGAACGCTGGGGCATGTTCACTGCGTTCTCACCAGAGGCATCCAGAGGTGCAGGCTTCTCTCCACCCCTATTCTTTAAACGACCTCCAACGACGACCTCCACTGCCGAATGGCCCAACGACGACCTCCCTCTTTCGACGGGGCACCATGGAGATCCGATCCCAACAGCCGGAACTCCAGGGCAGTCCTTCCCAACAAGAGCTCCAAGCCCTCTTCGATCGGATCCAGACCGTCACCTGCATGTTTTCGGATCCGGACGGAAAAAGGTGGACAACCACGGTTGGTTGGAGGTGTGAAGTTGGAATCAAACCATGACAGGGGAGGGGGGTTTTCAAGTGTTTTCCAGAATCGTCAACCTGAATGGGGTCTCCCTGTCTGGCTGTCGATGGCTGGCGTCGATCCGTTCCTCCGGAGAGCAGGTCTTCACGGCATCGCTGGTGACGAAAGTAACACCAAATGCGTGGAACGATGGGCGGTGTGGTGCTGGTGATGCAGCCTTTGCCCAGGTGTAGCAGCATATAAATGGTGTTTCAAATTTGCGCTGAGGGAAAGGACATGAAGACTTAACAAGCTCCAATGTTCTGCCATCGTTGGGACATCAATTCCAGGGTCCTGTTCCGTGCCAAGACTGCCACACATTGGCCTGGCTCGATGGCATCTTCCACTGTGCCATCGCCCAGCAGTCGTTGAAGCGAGATCTTGACGCCCTGCTGAGCACAGTTTCTGCTCACACCTGGGGGCCGAGGCCGAAATCACCCGGATCCCATCAAGGTCCAGGAGTTGGGAGGTTTGGCGCGCTTTTTTTAGGCGTCTTTTTGGCCGAAGAATAACACACCAACTGCTTTTTGAGGTGTTGTTGAATGTGTTTTTGGAGGGTTTTGGCCATATTTGGTCTACCTCTTTTCCCGGATTCCTGGAGTGTAACTGATTGGGATAGAAACCCGTTGGCTCGCCGTTGGCTCGCCGTTTCCGACAGAGCAACTTCCGAAGATGGCACCTCCCCTACCCAAAAGGTGGATTCGGTTGACCTCCCTTCTAGTAGTAACAAGAAGCTAGTAGGAACAAGTGCCACGCTACTAGTAACAAGTGCCTTACTAGTAGTAACAAGAAGCTACTAGGAACAAGTGCCTTACTAGAGGAATCGATTCATGATCGGTCAGACCACCGGTGCCCGGGTGTGTTTTGACCCATGTTGACCCATAGCCATTTCCAAGTCACGAAGCGCCAGCAATGAGTTGAGGCCCAAGGAAGACACCCGTGAGCTGGGTGAGGTGTCTCCCAGGCCCAGCTCTGCCAAGGTCTGCAGTGGGAGATGGTCTCAAAATGCATGACCCCCCATCATAAATCATCGTCACTATCATCGTCATAAGGCATCATCAAAAGGTCAATTGGATGATTTATGATGACTTGGGGCCCAAACAACTGTGGACAGTCTGAACAAGTCTGAACCCTGCACGTTGCTGTCAATCTCCTGCCGTAAGGTTGTTTGATCTATGCATCATGCATCTACTCCAGCTCTGACAGCCGGAACACCATGGAAGAAGAAACCGTTTGTGTCTAGACTCTAGACTGTCTAGCTATTTCATCAAGTCACCCATCCCCCCCTCTCAAAACCTCAATGGCCTTCATCAAAACCTGCACTTGTCCTTCCAGTCCGCTCCACTCGCTCATGCGGGGCAGCACCACTCCCGGAACCACCTCGCCGTCGCTCACCACGGCGGGGTGAGCGACGGCGCGGCTCGCCAGGGCTTGGAGGTCGATCTTTCCGGAGCTGCTTCGGGGCCACCCAGCGATCCAGTGGAAGCTGGGGATCATGGCCCTCCAGAAGCAGGTCGTGTGAGGCGCCCAAAAGGCGAATGGGGCGGAGTGGATGGAGGCCAGGCATTGGAGCAGGCCCCAAGAAAGGAGTCCATGTGGTTCCATGCTGAGGTTATGTGTTTGTGGACAATGAGGAGTAGATTTGTCAAGCTAATGGATAGTCGGCAGCCAGAGCGGGTGTTAGGCTAGATTGATACCAAGCAGTCTTAGTGCAAAGACCAAAACCACTGAACCAGAAACATCAAGATAAAGGAGCTGAGTGGTGGACATCCAAGATCCCCACGCCTTGGCAGCAGCTTTGCACAGTGCAAGAGAGCCTGCTGGCACGTCTGCTCGCTCTGCTCGCATTTTCAGGAAACAAAGGCCACCAGTCTCTCCGCGACCAAAATCACGCGACAGGACTCCACCTCCGGGCATTCCAAGATCGCCTGTTCGATTTCGCCCAGCTCAATGCGTTGACCGTGGAGCTTGACCTGCTCGAAACTCGAATGGTTCAATAGACGTCTTCAAAACCCGTTCTTGCTGGTGACATCTGGTGAATTAATACCTGAAAAACCAACACATCAAGAGTCTTCCTCCCTTTTTGCTTCGTGTCTTTCTCCACCTGAGCATCGCTCCGCCCGCAAAAGCTCACACAGCCCAGCGTCCCGAGCTCGTCCAGCGCTCGAGCCGCCATGTCGCCGCTGCCGTAGCAGCGCCCCGCGCCGCGGAGGTTCTCAGCGAAGGGCCCGCGCCGGAGCGGCGAGGTCCTGGGGGATCTCTGGATCCGGAGAAAGGGATGAAAGGGGGTCCTTGTTGCTAGTAGCTTCTAGCTACTAGCAAGGGCATCGCTACTAGTAAGAAGGGCATTGCTACTAGTAACAAGGGCATTGCTACTAGTCGCAAATAGCTTCTAGTAGCTTCTATATACTATAGTAGCAATGGCCTCCAGCCTAATAGCGATGGCCTCCAAGCTTAGCTAGTAGCTTCTTGTTACTATATATAGAAAGGGATGGGAGGGACCACACTGGGACTGGGCGTGCACCTGGGTGAGGTGTTTGTTTGCTTTGTTTGAGATGTCTGGCGAAGCTTCTTGAACCTTCCGATCGACTCTGACCTGAAAAAGCCCGTGAACATGGCAAGTATGCTTTGCCAAGCTCAAATGGCTGGGGATCCACCGTCAAGGCATGCATGCTCAACAAAACAGGGGAGCCCGAAGCAACCCTCTCATTGAAGTGGATGGACCTTGAAGACGATCAGCCTCCTTTACCAGCTTCTAACTTGTGGGGAAGGAAGTAAAAACGCATCTCGTTCTTGCTCCAAGATTCGAGGTATAACCCAAAGCCAAGCCAGCACCAGCCAGAACGAGTTCTCCCTTTTCTAAGCCAAACCCTTGGATCCAGATCTGTCGAGAACCACTGGGCCAGCCAATGGGAACGGCTTCGACCTTGGAACACCTGGTTCCGTGACTCTTAAGGCTGAAGGGTCCCAAGAGGAGGGCGTTGATGGCACATTCAGTGGGACCATAGCGATTGTGCACCTGAACGTCCACTGGGTTCTCGGACTTCGACTGATTCCGTGCAGACTGGAAGAAGTCCAGCAAGGCTTTGGAAGCAAGTGCTTCTCCTCCACAGCCTAAATGTCTCAATGGTAAAGGAAAGGGCATCTCACACTCATTCATGAAAGATAGCACCGATGGCACTAGAGTGGTAAAGCTGATCTGTTGCTCGTAGAGGATTTGGCGAAGATGCTCCGGGTCGATCATGGGGTTCTCAGAGGTGATGATCAACTGCGCTCCACTGAGCAAGGCTCCAAAGAGTTGTGAATAGGCCATATCAAAGGTGAACGAACTGGTCAGAAGCACTTTGTCACCAGCCGTGAGCTTCAAGACCCGCAGGTATGGCATCAAATGTGACACCAACGCCTGCTGCGACACGACCACTCCCTTAGGCCTTCCCGTGGATCCAGAGGTGAACAGCACATACGCCGAACTCCGCGCGCGCGTACGCCGCCGCCGAGTAGGGCGGCGCAGGCGCCCGGTCGACCGGCTTCTGGCGGAGACCACGTGAAGCGGAAGGACCGGGTGAAAGGCGGAGGCCAAGAGGGCCGCCGGCTCCGCGGTGCTGGGCGTGGCCAAGAGCACAGCCACCTCTTGTTCCGCGGATGGGATGGGCTTTAAAGGAACATCAAAAGGGGGCCTTCCTAAAGGGTGAGAACGACCTTGCAAATGGATGTGGTTCATTTGTGCAGTGGGTTTGAATAGTTCCTTACCTTTGAGCCACAGGAAAGGGTCACTGGCGCATGGCTCGCCACAGAAAGCCTGCTAAAACAAGGTAGCGAGGTTCCAGCAGGTTGAAGCCCCACATACTCCAAAAAAAACTTCAATCACCCTGAAGATCCTTTCAAAAGTGCATTTCAAAAGTCGAACATGTCAGGACATGGGGACTGTTAGGACATGTCAGCATTGTCCCTGTCATTCATGTACACTTCTCAATCTAGACACTTTTGTGGCTCTTGCCGCCCCAAGGCCCAATGTTCCACAAAACACCAAAAGAGATGAAATGGAGGAGGTCCCGGCTCCCGAGTGGACTATACGTGGACGTGGATTCCGACGACGTGGATCTTCCGGAAAACGTTGGAGGCGGCCGTGGATCACCAGTCCCTCCGCAGGCCGGCCTACCTACTTTGGACGAAAAATCTCATGTTTACCGAATCAAAGGACTGGACAACATGGACAGTCCTGTCCCGTCAGACAGCCACCAAACACCACTTAGTAGTTGCAAGATGTTGCAAGTAGCCGCTAGCCTGGCCTGAGCGTCTTGACTGATCCACTTCAGCCGCTCTGCTGGGAAGTCCGGCGACAAGGGTACGAACGCGCCCCCAGCCGTCAGCACAGCGAAGACCATCACTGGAAGGTCCAAGCCTCGTTCCGTTAGCAGCCCCACACGAAAGACGTCGAGCACGGGAGCTGCGGGAAAAGAACACGAGCCCGTCGGCGCACAGCTGGAGCCACTCGCGTCGTAGATCTTGATTAAAATCTCAGCCAACTCTTGAGATTCTTCCAGCAACTCCCGGTATGAGAGGCGTTGAGATGCTTCCACGCAAAGCACCGCTGTTTGCTGGGGTGTACGTTTGGCTTGTTGCTCCAAAAGATCTTCCAGTCGACATTCCGGCAAGGGAGGCGAAACGCTGGCTGTCCAATCATGCAGCACGGCGTGCCGCAGATCCCAAGGAGGTTCCCGCAAGCGCCACAAAGGCATACACAAAGCACCAGGTGTGTTCGAGGCCAGTCGCTCGGCCATGGCAGCCAAGTGCCGATCCAATAGCTTCACGAAACTGTGGGGTACAACCTTTCAGGGTTGGAACTAAGCAGCTGACAACCACATCAGCCAGAAACATCTATCAATGAGAGTTGTGTGGAGAAAGGGTTTCAAGAGTATCTGTTCCAAGAAATTGTCATTCCACTAGACTGCCAGGGAAAGCTCAATATGACACAATGTGGACCCCTGCCTCTGGCATGAACTCCCATCGGAGGCGACCACCCTGGTCATCCAAGCTCGTGTGCAGGCTCACCTGGCTGGGTCCAGGTTGTAGTCCTTAATTATGATGTAAAACTTGTCTTTTTACTTCTGGATGTTGTGACCAGGACCAACACAACCTTTCAGAGGATCACCTGGTGGAAAATACCGGACTCTTCCCAGACTCGCTCTTCTGCCAGGTTGAGGCCGGGGTGCTTCATGTGTAAAGAAGACCCCAACCCGTCACCGTGAAGTCTACCGTCTACCAATGAGCCGTAGAACAAAGATATAGTTCCCTACTCGATCCAATTTATGCTGCGATCCATGCACAGGTTTATCTCCAAATGAGCAAAAGAACCAACAAATTACGGATGAATCTACCCCTTTGGTTCCAGCCCTAGAAAGAACGCCTCTCTCGGAACACACGGCGAATATAGATGTTCTGCGTCCGAGTCCGACTTTACTTACCAACCTTTCAGCGTGGTGACCTGCAATTCACAGGGTCTCCAGGATTCTAAGACAGTTTAACTCGATATATTCCTTTCTTTCTGGATGCTGCTCTTTCAACGTCTTGTCTCTTCACGTATATACGTACCATCGTTCCTCAGCCTGCCGTTTTTCAGGACCTACCATCCCCCACAACAAACCAGCCACAACAATAACCCCCTCCCGCCCACCACGAATCGGAAGACATGTCTAGGTGGCCTCCAGTCTGACGTCCGTCGGCGACGTCCCTCGACCGCGCCTCGAACTTGGCCAAGGCTGGCCATGTTCCAAAGTCAAATGGCTCCAACAACTCCGACGCCACGGTGACGTCATGGGTATGTTGGAAGAACGCTTGCAGACCACCCTGGTGGCCCTTCTCCTCGTTTTGGGGCGGAGGAACGAGGCGCGAACTTGGGAGGGGCACGAAGGTACCACTGTCTTAGCAAATATAGTTGGCAGATGTTGGCAGGCAATGTGTGAGTGTGTTGTTACTTGCTTGTACTAAAGCTAAGACCCGCTACTTACTGGGATCTAGCTACAAGTTCCCTGAAGCTAGACGGGTTTGACATAGCATTCTCCGTAAATCATCATAAATCAACATACACCATGTATATATATATATATGTGATGTTGATGCAATATTATACTAGTTCAGCCTCTTGCCGCCAGCTCTGAAAGCCCACATTACCTTCTACTACTATACAATACAGGTGACAGGTCTCATCCCCCCAAAAAGCCATTGACTATCAGCAACGCACCTGTCTTCCAAGCCATTGACTATCCGCTCATGGCGAATCAGGTGCCAAGTTGGCAGCACGACCATCTTCAACAACTGAAAACTCCCCCCAAATTGGAAGGCATTTTTGGTACATTGAACATTGCAGTGTTCTCACATGTCAAATCCTTATGATAAAGCAAGGGAACAATAAGTTTTGTGTGTGTGTTACGTCATGTCACAAACCATGCCCCACTCCGCCCGCAACGCCCCCACGGCAAAAACACCCGACCGCTCCTGTCTCAGGTCGGCTACCGCTTGAAAGGGCAGCGCCGAGTGTTCGATCGCCTCCAGCAAAGTCGCCTGCGTCCTCGCCGCGACGTAGAACCGGTGAAGAGGCCAATGCCGAACGTCCCACTGGACTTTTCCGTCATGTCTAGGAGTCTAGCAAAAGATCTGTTCAGACTGCGAAGCGAAGTCACCGTAGGACTGCGGACGTTCAAGGATAGACTGATAGACTGAAGGAGCCGGTTGGCATGTTGAATCCGGCGATTTTGGGGTCGAAACTTTGATGACCAACAAACGCGGTTCGGGATCATGGTGCATTAAGAAGTGTTCTGACGCTGACCATGCAGTCGACGTGTCGAGGAGTTGACCAATTGCCACCTGCGCTCACGAGTCGACACGCCAAGGAAGGAGTCTACACGCCGACGAGCCGACACGCCAAGCATTCGGCCAGACCAGGGGACGACCACACGTCGAAGAGCCGATTGCGCCGGCCACACGCCGAGGAGTTGACTGCGCCGACCACTTAGGCGTTCTTACCCGTTATACTTGGGCGTTCTTGCCCATTACTTAGGCGTTCTTGCCCGTGCCCCCCTCACTACAATCAGTAGTTGGGTGGACAACGGAATGGTAGCCTTTTAGGGGAGTGAGCGACATTAGTTTCAATAACTTTAGACTGGGGATTAGCATCAAGTGGCAGGCGGTTGTTTTCTCAAATTTGTTCATTCGAATTCTGGCTCTGCCGCCTGCATGTAAGAATGCATGTGATTGTGCCTCGGCGTTTTTGACCCTCGAGGCTGAGGCGTTCTTTGCAAAAGCGGGCTGAATTTTCTGCCTAAATGGCGTTGGGCGGAAATTATTGCCTAACGAGGTTCTAGGTATAGTTATAGGTGCCTTTAGATCCGAACAATCGCTGTCTGTCTGTTGCATATTTGAGCATGACTTTCTTCGGTCCTCTCCAGCAAGTCCTTGAAGGTCGCCTGTCAGCATTGAACACATGGGCCCTCAGCATTTACTGAGTGGGTGGGCAGGTTCATCCAACAAAAGCTTGACCAAACTGTGAGAAGATTGGCCATCTAATCGGCCTCGCCCCAGATCATTACCCTGCATTTCTGTCTTCGACCTGTGCATTTCCTCGGAATTCCGAACGAACGGACCCCGCCCAAACGGGTCGCGATAAACCGCCGTCGATTTCACGAAGCCCAGTGCGTTCGACGGGTTCGGCCCGGCCTGCGTTGGACAGCTGAGACGGATCGGCAACGTGTTCCTCGTTTCGGAGCCGGATGCCCGGAGCCGGATGGTGACGGATCGGAGATGTGATGTGGTAGTGGCCGGTGGCCCAGGTGAGGGAGACTGATGTCTTTTTGGTTGAGATGAAAAGGCAAATCCTTTTTGCAGAGTTGGAAAATCCAGGTATGATGGTTTGGGATGGTTAATTATGGAGACACCCAACCAGGTTTTGGCATGTTTTCGGTCTATGTTTGTTCTTCCAAGAAGGCTCTTTGGAGGTCCAGAATCAGAGCATGACATGGTCATTAGTGAAAATGAACAGAGATGACATTCTACCAAGAACTACAGCAATGTGGACGAATCGCTGCAACCATATATAGTTGGTTGATGTTGGTTGTAAAGTCTTGTAACTAACGCAGTGCCCCATCTCCTCCCTCTGACCTCTCCATCTGTAAACGGCCCAGGCGCACGAAGAAGCCGATGATGTCGTCCAGTTGAGGATCTCCACTACGACCAGCTTCCGGAATGCCCACCAGCAGGTCCTGTGGGCAGGTTCCATGGGCCAGCCTTCTTTCTACCCAGATGAGACCTTTGTATTCATGGGCCTCTCTTGTGATGCATTGGCCACATCGGTGAGACAATGGTGTGCTTGCTTCCGCGAACAGGCATGTTTGCTACTATATGTACTCTGTCGCCCTATCTACCCATCCAAAAAGGGAGGTTCGTCCCGGGATAAAAGTTCTACCCAGAAACGACCTTGTAGCAGGTCAAATGGATTGCGACTCATTGGTTACGTGCTGGTCAGCATAGCCCTGTTCTAATGCCCACCAAATCTGGCCATCAAATTCACCCGTAAGACTTCACACAAAGACGGTTTCTCAGGCCCCGAGGGGGCAAAGTCCTCGCCAAGGTGGATGCTCAGCAAAAGTCCAAACAAGGATAGCCTGGGATGGTCAGTTGGCGGGGGGAATAGGATGTGATCTCTCTTTCGTTGGAAAGGAATCACTTGGACCACAACCCTCTCACTGCTCAATTCCAGTTGAGAATTGTACAATGGCGGCTTTGGATATGTTTTTGAATGTTTTGCCTGCTTTGCTTCATGTTGTTCTGTATTCGCAGGGTGAATTTGATTTACATCGTTTAAGGTGAATTTGAAAAGTAGGCCGCAGAGACCCGTTCAGTCGTGCCTTGCATTCGCTATCTCGATGGAAACAAACATACCAAACAAATGAAACTCTTTGGCATTCATCAATCAAATCGTCAGGCGGCCTGTATATGTATTGAAGTGCTGGGTGATTTCTCCAACCCAAGGATATTGTTACTACTAGTTGCTTGTTACTAGAAGCGATGCCCTTGTTAGTACTAGCGTCCTTGTTACTACCTTCACTGATTTAGCTGGTCCGGAACTCGGCCGAAAGACTCCGTGGTGTTCTTCCACCCGAAGTGCTGCGCTGGCGTAGCGGCGTTGCTCGGGCTACGGGGTTCTCCCGGGGCACTCGCGCAGTAAAACACGTTAAAAGACTGATTGTTGTTGTTTTAGTTTTTGTCCCGGGGGTCGCCCATGTTTTGCCACCCGCGCGATAAACACAATAATAAAAACACATGTTTTGACCGTTTTTCCTGGACCACCTGCGGTAAAAACGGTAAACAGTGTTTTAACAGTGTTGCCGAATCTGGTAGGTATGTGTTAAACATGTAAGTAAGGTGCGAATATTGATTTTTTTGTAGTAACCGTTTTTCCCCAGTTGTCTTTTAAGGATCCGCGCGATCCAGTGTCTTTTGATTTCTTTGCGAGTTTTCTTCCGGGTGGCTTGGCTATTGTTATATGACACGTGCATTTGTTGTTTACTGTTTTGCACAGGCATCCTGCTTTTTCGTCCGACATGCGTGGAAAGATGCTTCAAAGAGATCCGGGGTCTGGCGACTTGCTTCTTTACCACAGGGCACTTAGTTTTAGAGCTGGAAATGTGTATTGTCTGTGCTGCGGTAGGGTGCGGCTTTGATTGTTAAGTTAAAACGACTATGTTGAGTTTTCTTATTTCGGGAAACCCGCGACGCAACCTTGTAAAGTGTGAATATGTGAAATCTCAGTCAAAAAGTGCTCAAATCACTCGGACGACTGCTTTTCTCAGAGCGGATGAGCGAGCTTGGTGTGAAACTCACATCATTTCCATCATTCACATATGTTGGCCTATGTGTTTTTACCACACGCGCGGTGGAAACGGTAACTACTTTACTTCGAGTGATCCCCACCATGACGTTTCAATAATTAACTTGCTTTCATGTCGTAGTGGGCAACGAACAGTCAAGCACAGTGACTCGCGCAGCAATAGTGTGTTTGTGATTGTGTTGTTGGTTGTGTATTGTGTTGGTGTTTGTGGTTGTGGTTTGTGCTTGCGTGTGGCTTTGTTGGTTGTGTATTATGTGTTGTGATTGTGTGTTTGTAGTTGTGTTTGTGATTGTTTTTGTGATTGTGTGTCAACTGTGGTTGTGTTTGTGATTGTGCTTCTGATTTTGTGATTGTAATTAATTGTGTGTGTGGCTTGTCTGCTCGTTTTTTTTGCTGTGTAGTGTGTATTGTGTGTTTGTGGTTATGTTGTCTGGTTGTGTGTTGTGTGTTGAGGTCCGGCAGTGCCCACTGCGATCTCGCACTTGCGGTTGAGGTCAGGTAGGGCCCACTGCGATGGGGAGCTGTGGCGGTCGGGGAAAAAAATAGTGTTTTTTATGGTTTACCGTGTTTCCCAGAAAGTCGCCCTTTTTCATACCACACGCACGGTCAAAACGGTAAATTGATGTTTTGTTTAAATTTTCCTTTAGCACACGCAGTAAAAAGGGATATGTTCTTTGTTTACCCGTTTTTCCCGCGGGGGTCGCCCTTTAATTCATTTTAATTCTGAATATACTTACCACACGCGCGGTACAAGCGGTAAACATTGAAATATTATGTAATTTTTTCGTTTTGCCCAGGGGGATGGCCTTTATTTACCACGCGTGCGGTAAACACGGTAAACACGGTCAAATGGCCTTTTGTTCCTTTGTGTTTACATGTGTTTACCGTTTTCTTCTGCACGGACAGGAGCGGGTAGCCCTTAGAACAACGCACGCGAAGCGGCTTAGCAATTTGGCCCAACGATCTTCGAACTGTGCAGAGCCTTGATCTTCTGGGCACCACTCTATAAAGCGCCTCCCTCAAGAAAGGCTCCAAAGAAGGGCGACCATCCCAAACAAAAACGACCTCACCCAGCAGAAAAACAGCTTGATCCGAGCATCATCAGCACCATCTCGGAGCTTCCATGTCTTCGTGCCAGGGCCCTCAATGCACCACTCACAGGTGCAGGCCACGTTGAGATGACCTGAGACGACATGGATCTGCAGATGGGATGGGTCACAACGCACCCGACAAGGAGCGAGGAGCGATGCTGGGGTGTCCCACGGGCATTCCATCTAAGATATATGCACGAGGTAGCAGCCTGGACCTGCTTTTTTTCGGGACGTACGAAACTGGAATGTCAAAAGTGCGTAGTGTAGGGACTTGTCCAGGACGGAGACCGGTTCCAGCGCTGGAGTGTATCAAAGAGTATCATCTTGATTGGCCAGGAGTCACAAAGGAGTGCCGAACTTGGAGGATAGGTGCCCAGAACATCCACTCACTTAACGAAAAACTATCCCTTTGTGACCCTTGGGTGTTCTTGAAAAACATCTCCATGGCCCTCCTCCCGTCCAGTCACTGTGGCACCAGAGCTGCCGCTGTCGGTCACAAGTTGGGGCCAGGGACGATGCAGTGGTGCGCCTCGGTTGGAAGACAGTCCACGTCAGTCCACTTCCATCGGATGAGTGGTTTTATGAGTTTTCAGATGGTTTCATGGATGGTTTCATGGATGGTTTCATGAGTGGTTTCATCTCATTTAGCCTCTCTCACCTGATGAAGCAAAGAAAACTCCCGATCGATCTCAAAGGAGTTTCTCTCCCCGATGTCGGGCCAAACTCTTTGAGATCGCCGAAGAGCGACCGCAAACAGAGACCCGAGTTCAGATCGCCAGGTCAAGGTCTGCACAGGTTCTCTCTAGGCACTCTGCCACTGATCATTCATGTTACCATCTGATCCAGTGAAACGGCAGATTCCCTGACTTGGATGCTTGACGTTTCACAACGGCGCGATGCCAGAAGCCAAGAGACTCGAAACATCTTTATTGAAATATAGTAAAAACATGCTCCAACCCCATGAACATCTGGGTGCTTTCAGGACATGTTTGAAAAGCCGCTTCAACTTGTCCAACTCAACTTCCTGCCACCACAGGAGTTCTCCAGCCAGAGGCCACCTGGTTGTCCACACCAGATCAGGCGGAGGCACCGACCAGCTTCTTCCTCCAATATCTCAAGCAGCGTTCAGCTTCGCCCTCCTCCAACCATCTGCGATGCCACTGTGCGTAATCCACATAACGCCTCGTCGCGGAATTTGGGCCCTACAGCCGCTCGTGGCACCGAACGATGAGGCGCGGGGCTGTCTCCGGTCTCTGCACTCCATGTGTCGAAAAACGGATCGTTCGGGCTAGGCAGGTTTTCATTCGTGATCCAAGCTGGGTCGGATTGAATGATCAAATAAATTGTCTGTTACTAGTAGCAAGAATGCTACTTATATATAATATATATAATTATATATATATATAATAGTAATGGCCTCCACCCTAGCTAGCGATGGCCTCCACCGAGCATAGCGTCCGAGAAAGCTGAGTGGCCCCTACGCCTTGACCAGGCCGCATGGCAACAAGAATCTTGATGATAAGCCACAAAAAAAACACCAAAAAACTCCACCGAAACTGCCTCCTTCTAAAAGGTCCACCAAGGCTCGCCCTAGATCCTTCTTCCGGCATTTGCTTTCCCAGGAGGTCCATACAAAGCTCCTTCTCAAGAATCACCTGGGCGGACCAGATGGTCCCAGCTGGGCGGAGAAAAGAGCTCAGTGGGGGTTATGTCCTGACTTGGGACCAATATACCATACCCAACTTTGTAGTTTTATTTCGAGAGGTATCTCCTCTATTTTCATCAGCCAGCCAGTCATCCATGGGGCCAGGCCCATCCATTGCTCAGTCCGAGTCTAAGATGCCCAAGGAGCCTGTGATGCAGCATCAAAGGCGACGTGGTGAATGTTGAAGTACCTTGGCACTGCCCAGCCCAGCCCAGCCCTGCCGTAGCGTGAGCTTCTGACCGTTTCACCATCCAGTGGAGGTCTTCAGAAGGGCTTCGGTTTGGCCGCCCTGCCCAAGACAGCCAGAGATATCCATCCGCAGCCAAGCAGCAGCAAGAACTCCTCCTCGCCCACGGCAAATAGACGTGCCCTCATCACTCCACGATCCAGTTCAAAGCCTCGCTCTTGGGGCGCGCGGCGCGCGTTCACCTCTATCTGAATGCGATGTTGAAGTGGGTCTCATAAGCACAGGTGTGTTTCGGCCTCATTGGTGAGACCATCTTCGCGTGACCCACCGAGATCGGCGGGGGTCGGGCATCCTTATAGATCTTATAGGGGCCTCCCAAGGTCTGACCCTCTCGAAATCCATTTCGATCGAAAACGGACGATAGGGGACTTGAATGGTGAGATGTGAAGATCCTACCACCCCAAAACAAACAAAACATTGCAAAACATTGCAGAAACGCCTTCAATTCGACCGTCTTTTCTTGGTGATTGATTTTTCTCCCTAATTTGGATTGTAAAACCTCTTGAAGGGGGACACGCACGTACGGATTTCGGTCTGTCTCCGTGGCAACTCTGTCCCTTGACCCTTGGGGCCGGGTGCAGGTTGTCGTGTGTGTGACAAAGGAGCTGTATAGAGAAAAAAGGGGAGATTGGAACCCGCCTTGTGAAACCGAAAAGCATCGAGCATTGCATTGGCACGCTGCGTCATCCAGCTTCCAGGGAGGGATGGGAGAGTTTGATGATACACCCCCTGAAATCCTCATAGAAATGGAGTTCCCCGCGTCTTTGGTGCAGAAAATAGAAAGGTCGTCCAAACTCGAGGCCAAACCACCATTATCCTTCCACTGAGACCTCCCAGTGGCCCTTGGAATAGGGGCGACTTGTCAGGGACCCCGTGGAAAGAAGGAAAATATCTAAGATCAAAACACTGGTTGGGTGTCTCCATATTCAAATACAAACCCCATAACTCCCCTCACCGTCTCCCCCACCGCATCCTCCCTGGCCTTTCACCGCGTCCTCTCGCATCAACTCGGCCGCAGCGCTGGAGTCGGCCCGCTCCACCGAGAACCAGGGACACCTCGGCGAGGGTAGTGAAGTGGGCGAAGAAAGACTGGATTCAACAGCTAGGCTAGTCATGCGCTTCGTTTTTTTTGAAAAAAGGTGGGAAGCCTTGCACCAAGTACTGTTGGGGATGCTAGGGCCTGCAAAAACATCATTGCACAAAAAAAACATATTCAGACTTGCTGGGGCACAGGAAGTTGCGTGCTGCTAGCATGTCCAGTGGAATCTCCACATCCAACGGCAGAATCTCTTGCGACAGCTCCAGCTTGCCGTCTTGAGAGACTCCACCTCGCAGGCGAGGAACATGATGTAAACGGTTGATTAGAGTTAAACGAAAGAAGCCCTTTTAAGGTGTATATATATATATATATAGTTACATCTGCATCATAGGGAGCTTATTCATCAGCCGTCCACCTCATCCGCCTCATCCGCCCTACGCCCTACGCCAGGAGCTTCTCGGCACCGACCCGACCGACAGGACCTGGCTGGGAAGCACCAACAAAATAACGAAGCCTCTTCTGGGTGGGAATAGGATAGGAATCAATATCAGAGTCTGTTTTCTGGGTGCATAGGATTGCATGCCGCTATTGCACTCATTTTGGAGTTCGTTTTTGTTGGGGGTTGTTCACTCTCTGGCGTGCCCCTTCTGTGGTGCCCCAACGCCTAGTAGCACCGTCCTCAAGATCTCATGTCGCCGTAGCAACTTCACGATGGCTGCTGCCAGGTGCAAGTGGCTTACACCGGTCACGCGCCAGGCAAAGGGCACGTTGTAGCTGGGACCTGAAGCTCGGCGCCCCGCGTGGTGCCCCACGTGGTGTCACAGACAACTCGGAGCTGTTGGCACCCGCGGTGTTTGGGCTCGAGGAACATCGGAAAAGCGTACGGTGTCGTGGTCGTTTTGCCAAGAGGAGACGGACGTGATACGTGTTCGTTATGTTTCACCGTTTGCACTCCCCAGGGTCAATTCACCATGGTGACAGGTTCTACTCATTTCGCACCACTTCAAGTGAGATGGTGATGTTCCATCGCCTGGAAGAAGGTGCTGTTCCAGCCAGAGTCTTTCCTGTGCAAAGGATGCTGGAAGACCACCGCCATCATTTTCACGGCTGTGGCCACTCAAAAGCGGCGGCTTCTCCCGCGGCGAGTGATGGGAATCGGTGTGATTCTCCTGGTGCAGGGAGAACGCTCTTGGGGTGATGCGCAAGGAAATCCGGAGCAAAAAAAAGAAAAGCAAAACGGCCCCTCCTCGGCTAAGAGTTTGGCCAAGCCGGCCACCGTCGGATGCTGAAAGACCTCCCGCAGCGACAGTCTTCGGCTGCCACGTCCGCGTTCGCTTCCGGTTTCCAGCACCCTCTGCAATTGCATCGCAGACAACGAGTGCCCACCCAATTCGAAGAAGTTCACATCCATGGACGGCATGGCATCCAGACCCAAGATCTCCTGGATCCATACAAAAAATGGCATCCAAACGGACGCACTTTGAGGCCACATACATGGGAAATGGGTGCCTGCTTCGACAGTCCTTGGAGCCATTAATATGGTTGCTCCACTTGGGCATTTAAGAGAAATGTCCAGGGAATAACGGAAAAACCATTTGGCCTCTCACTCATGTCTTTTATAAATCCACGGCAGGGTCTAAACTAGCCCTGAATCATGACAAAGTGGGGGCCATCTTGATTTATATATAAATATGAATCATGATTACCTGTCTCTTGCAGTCAAAACCCCACAGATTTCCACCAACTTGCCCCTCCCCAATCAGCTCCCCCCAAGGCACCTGAAATGCTGTCGCCACCCGGAGAACGATCTCCGTGTCTTCCGCTGCCGGAGGCTGCACGCTGCGCGCGGCCTCCCCTGCGGCGGCGCGCTGCGCGCGGCACGTGCGCCTCTGGCGTTGCAGCTGAGAACGGTCCAACTTGCCATTGGCACTCAAGGGCAGCTCGTCTAAGCCTCAGTTAGTTGGGGTTCCACTGGGGTCCAGGAGTTCACTCGCGAACGAGGTGATTGAACAGACCGGCCAATTTTGGCTGAGGAAAGAGTGGAACAGGCTGTTCCCCAGTGGGAGGATTTGCTGTGAGGCTGTGAAGCGTCTTCCAAAAAGCGAATTTACTTGTTTAAACCGTGTCAAAGTGTCAGAGAGAGGGCACATGAAAAAAAAAGCAAAAGTCAATCCATTCATCCAGAAAACATGCAAGCTCAGGGATCATGTAGGAAGGCAACAAATCCCCCAAGCCTTCCTTGACTCGCTTCAGATCCGCTTCCGTCCCCACAAGGAAGCCCACCAGCTCAAGATCACTGTCCACGCCCGGCAATGCGAGGACCGCGGCCTGTCAGAAGACTGTCTCCGCTATTGGCCCACTTTGCACAGCTTCACAAAAAGCGCTCACCTGGTGTAGAAACTCTCATTTTTGTATGGAGGTCTTTAGTGGGAACTGGGGGAATCTGAGGGAATCTGACACACCAGGTGGTTGTTCAAAGGTGTCCATACGGGAAACTCCCAATTGACCATGCCGCCTGGCATGGTCTTTGAATCGTGAGTATTGAGCCATCTACCCTGAACTCACTATTTGTTCAAAGCCTTAAAGTGACCAGCTGACCCTAACCTGAGAGCAACTCATGATAGGCTAAGTCCAGGGCCCGACCGAGACCCAAGAATGAGCATGCACCACCTGCTCGGAAGACCCCCCCCCTTTTCTTCCATCCCATTTAGGTCTTCCCCAACGCGTTCACTCGCTTTTCCAAGCGCTTGGGAACGCCTGCTCTTCTGTCCCCGCAACCCCCTGAACACCTCCCACCCACCCGCGCCTCGGCACCCAGCTGTCGGATCACCTCTTCCACCTCGGTCACCTCCACACGAAAGCCACGGATCTTCACCTGCGGCCGGGTGCAGGGGTCTAACCGTCTAACCATGAGCCTTTCTGTTGGCGATCCTGGCCCCCTGTGTGCTCGCTGGTGTATTTGTCCGGCGCTGGTGGGGGAGGCTATGGGAGGCTCTGGCGAACTCCACTTCTGGGAAGAAGCTGAACATCTCCGGCCATCGCCGGAAAGCTCGAAGGGCTCTGGAAGTCAAACTCTAAGAGCTATGCAGCTCATGGATATCGGATGATTTCATCATATCTCATTTGCGGTCGCCGAAGGTAGCATATGGCCTTCGGTCGGATGATTTCCGAGCAACACTCACAACATCTCACAACGCATAATTCGACATAGACACTGTGTGATTTCCCATTATGATATACCAGTCTGGGTCAAAGGGAAACCAGGAAATTCCTCACTCAACGGAAGACTCTGTGGATCCGGATCTGAACACGCGGCGCGGCGTCCCGCTACCGTGATCTGTCGCCTCGCGGCGATGCACGAGTCGCGCACGAGTCGCGCACGAAGCGTCCGCCTGGGAATCACAACGTCCGAGGAACTCCAAAACCACTTCATCCTCAGCATCCAAACACTGTCAACGACCTGGTCATGCGTTGATCTTGGACTTTTTGAGGTTTCTTATTACCCAAGCATGTGGCGACAGCGCCCATGTGGTGTTCGTTTATATCCACGTGTACTGTACATTTGTATTATATTTGCAATACATGATACAAAAATAGTTATATAGTTCAAATGCTTCGGGGTGCTTAGCTTCATGTTCCTTCGTCCACTGCTCTGTCTTCAGGATGTGTGAAATAGCCTTAAATAGGCCAAAAACAGCTTTTGGGTCGACACCGCGGGTGTCGCGGGTGTCGCGGGTGTCGGCGGTCTTCCCTGAATCACATGAAATATATTTGCCACGGGCCCCTTGTCATCCTTTAAGGGGTGAGATGGGGTGAGACTACCAACATGACGCCATCCTGGTAGGCTCGTCGTTCAACAAGTCAGGCCAAACGCTGAATGTGGCGATGTGCCACATGAGGGAATCCACCAATGGACAGCCCAATGGCTTCAATGTGGGGGGTTCAGTGGGTTCGACCATTTTGAGGAACCCCAAAGTCTATCTGCAACAGAATCCTGTCTCGTCTTCAGTTCCAGACAAAATTGAAAAACATAAAAAAGTATCCAAACATCTCAGTTTAAGTGTTCCTTTTCTAGGGGTTCCCGAAAAAAACAACGGTCTGACCCCCCGGTCTGACCGGTCCGCTCTCGCTGCCCATGTGTTTCACCACCGTCCCAGCGGCGGCTCTCAGCGCGAGACGCCCGGAGGAGATGCGCGAGACGCCCCAGGGCTTCAGTGGCATGAAACGTACCACGTCGCCCGTGTGGTAGAGCCGGTCGTTGCGGCCCAGAGGGCGCCCATGGCGAAAGGGATTCGTCCGGAAACCTTGATCTTGGGACGTCGGATGGTGAGACATGGAGACATGGAGGGATCGGATCGATCAGGTGGAGGATGGGATGAGGGATTTCGAATGGTCTTTGTGTATCTGGATGTAGATGGATGTACCAGTTGAGGATGGATCAGTTGGTGACTGTATTGGATGTTACATTGCATATATGTAGCGTAAACGCTCCGAGCGGGTCAGTCCGGGACTTGGATCGTAGCTGAGCTTCTCAAGTGCCACTTTGAGGGCTCCAAGGGCCTCCAACATGCTCCGGTTCCGTTGGATTCCTCCGAGAGTAGTGGATTGAGAGGACCAATGGCACAGACCCCAAGTTCGGTGGTTTACTAGTAGACCCCCATCTGTCGAACGGACATCTTGATCTCGCCCTGAGCCCTCTGAAACCACCCAGCACCTTCCGACCTCGGGGTCACCTGGCTGGTTTCGCCCCAGCCCAAGGCTAGGGACCCTCCTCCGAAAGAAGGTCCAGGACTGTATGTATGTTTCACCTTCCTTCGCATCCAAGTGACGTTCCGCCGTGAGGTCGGGTCGTCCCACGTAGCCTTCGGCCACTCCCACCCCACCGATGTACAACTGCCCGGTCATCCCCAAGTGCACGGTCATCACGTCACTAGCGTCACTTAGGCAATAGTACTGATGATTCCAAATGGGCCGGCCATATGGAATCGAACGCCAAGCCGAGTCCACCTGATTGCTGGAACAGTGGCTAACAGTGGCTAAGAAGAATCGGCGAAGGGATCTGGTCAGATTTGGGATCAAAGTACGAATAAACTCACCTTTGATGTGTGAGTCTGAGTGTCTTTGTTTCGCCGACAGCATGCATCTCAAGTGTCCCACAATGAGCTTAGATGTTTACATCCGAACTCAGCCAGGAGTTGTCAGCACTGCACATCTTTGAGAAGAGTTGCCAAAACAACCACCCACTGCTTAGCCCACAAACAAACACTCGGCTTGCAGCATGTGTGGACCTTCCGAATCCGGCCTAGTCTCACAAAAACAAAAGAGCGAACTCCGAACTCCTAACTAACTACCAGATCTTGAACGCATCTTCTCCACTTCCCACCCCACACCTCCTCCACTTCGAAATAGTTCGACCAAACTGTGACCTCCGTAGCACCGCCCAGAGCCACCAGCTTCACATCGGGCTGCACAGCGCCCGATCTCGCACCAGCCAAGATCTTGCGTGCCAGCGCGAGGGGAATCCAATCCCCGCTGAGGAAGATCAACCGCAGCCCCTTCAGCGCTTCATCTAAGCCGGAAGCGTGAGAAGGCATCTGCCTCGCGACTCGAGATCCATCGCTCCCAGCATCAGAGGCAGCTGGAAGGCACTTGGACGACACCGCAACCTCCGGCGACCTCGGAGGAGTGTGCTTCGGGTTCTTCCTCCAAGTCCCTCCATCAAGGTCGCCCAGCGCGGAGAAGACTTGAGGTGCTGAGTTCCAGAAGGTGATCTTCTGCTCGGTGAGAATCTTCAACAACTTCTCTGGCAGATGGTTTCGTGCCATGTGGATGGTGCTGCCAGCGGCCAACGATCCAAACATGTCATAGCAGGAGAGGTCAAAGCCGATGGAAGTGACAAAGAGCAACGAGTCTTCTGAGGTGATCTGATAGGTGGAATTCCTCAATGTGTCCAGGTGGAAAAGCGAAGTTAGTAGTCTTCATCTGGGTTGTAGAAGTTTAGGATCGCTGGCCCCAAGGCAAAAACACACTCCTGTGCCCCTGTGCCAAAGTTGAACAATATCAAAGGAAAGCCATGAATGAAGATGAAGAAATGCTAAAGTATACAATCATAACTATAATCATACTGTACGTCTAATCATAGGCGGGTTCTTACAACCAACTTGTGAAGGTATTCACCACACCACTGCATCTACCACTCGTTTCAAGATTGTGGAGGTGTGAGCAGCGAAATGTGCCCCAGCCCCCACAGAGACTGCTAGACTCAACTTTGAAACTCACACAAAAGACACCCTTCGGCTGTCTGAATCTCTTGCAATTAGACGGTATGCCTAGCAAAAAAACAGGAGTCAATGGCACCAACCCTAAGAGGTAGTTAAAATAGAACCCCCATCTGTCTAGGACATCATGAGGTCTGTGCCATCTACTGTACTAAAGATGGTTGTTCTGGTTACTCGGGGACCTCAACAAGATTCACTATCCAATAGGCCCAAGAATTGCTCCTACCATTCGGGGCGCCCCAGGGTAGCCAGGTCTGCTCAGCCCGTGTTGCCCTGAATAGAAGAGCCTCTCCTGGAGTGAAGAGTGCAGGACCAGTGCCGCGCTGCATGAGGATCTTTTTCCCCAAAAGTGTCCACGATCTTTTCGTCTCCATTTCTTCCAACTTGAGACTCCCGGAGAAAAAGAATATTTAAAAAAAACACTATCAGGTGGACAGTGGGGTGCCTCCTCTCCTCCAAGACCCGTTTGAAGGTCCCAACCCCTTCGGACCATCCCTTCCCTTCCGGTCCTTGGGCCCTTCCGGTCCCACGGTCCATCGATCACGTCCATGGCTCACCCAGTCCACGAGATGCACAATGGATCGGTGCGTCACTGCCACACCTTTCGGTTGGCCTGGCGGCTGCGCGACGTGGAAGACGGAGCGCTCGGCTCGGCTTGGTAGGGCGGCTGCGCGAGCGAGGGCGGGGCAAGTCTGTGTTGTTGCTTTCTTTAAAGGAAGATCTGGGCCGTTTGCATGGCTCTTTGTTATCTTTGTTGAGCAAACACAAATGGACAAGCTTGGCCAGAGGAAATTGCAAGGACTTCTGACTTCCAAGATATTCTCCACCAGAACAGCTACCTGTATATGAACTTGTTGTTGGGGAAGAGATGAAAACAGCCTGTTTCAGCACCAACTTTCAAACCCATGAACTGGTGCTATTCGGCGGGTGGAAAGGTATCCTTTCCAGGTGTCTATAGGTATTGGTCACGAAGGTATCCATTTCCATGTTTCTGATTTTGTTTGAACCAGAAATTGTGGTAGCATTCGCGATGGTGCTTCAAGTGATCATCAAGGGTGCCTTACTGCCTTACATGTTGCTTGTGTTGCTATGTTTTGTTGCTGTCTTTGGTCCAAAGCACGGTGTGCTCTCCAATAGACACGGCCCCACTGCCCAACCTTCATACCTTCATACCTTCATCCGCCTTTCCTAGGGTTTCTGGCAGCTCCATCCAGCCCCCTCAATCCGATCCGAGGATGCCTGTGGAACCTGAGGTGAAAATCACATAGGCTGTGCTGTCCTCGGATGCCCTTGGATGGCACCAATCATCCCCATCTGCCAAGCCGTCCTGGCACAGCCGTTCCGCCGTACCGGGTACGGATAGAGGTGGACCTCCGTTCTAGTCTGTGCACATCGGATTTCTGAAGGTGTGTTTTGATGCCTCTGGAGTTGGTTGATATGCTGAAAGCAGAAGTAGTTCGATGTTGACACTTGGAAGTTTAAGGTTGAGTTTTGTGTCCTTCCGGTATCAAAATGAAATCTAGCATGAATCAAAGGCGGTCCTGGTCCTCGAAAAGCTCTTCAGCAGTCGTGATCAACAACTCTTCGTTCAAACCATCAGGTATGCCTCGGAGTTGGTGTTCTCCTCATCACAGGAAAAATACTCTCATGTTCGCATTCTTTGGAAGCAACGCTCCAACGGGGCGCCTTCGATCTGAGGCCTGGAACACCAACCCAGCATCAAGAAGCCAATCACCAAGAGCAAAGCATGCCCAAAAGCACTCCCAAAAGCACCACAAGGCAGGAGGCCTTCCAAGTCATCTAATTCACAGCCCGGATACGACCTGATGATAAGGCACTCAACATGAACAGTTATTAATATATCTTTAATATGGCTGTTAATGGACACAAGGCGGTCAAAACGTTTAAAGCCAAGAACCTGGGTGGAAAGACCAACTCTCCATTTTCACTTCACCATCCCCAACAAACCTGAAGCATGATGGATGAAACTGATGAAACAAAAGACACTTCCGTCCGGACCGTCTGGACCGTCGTCCTGCCACCAACACCTTCACCGCCGCCAAGGAGACCATGTTGGCCACGCGCCCCCAAGGCAGCCGCTCATCACAGGGAACATAAATGCCGCCGGTCTCCAAAATGGCCAATGCGGTGATCACCACCTTGGGAAGACTAAATCCTCGTGGTCGGAACGAAGAAAGAGCAAGAATGAGGTCGGACTTAGTGACTAAGCAGGTCGAGGTCGTTGTTCTCTGGGCGATCTCGAGTTTGGGAACCTCCAGGAGGTCCTGCTTTTGTAACCGCATGGATTCACGTCTATCTGATCAGCAAACCAGTAAGGTTAAATCCTCACTCACCCACGTCAAGAACGTCCTCATCACATCACGTCCCCGAGACCCTCCTCGTCCCTGGGCACCCGGACCCATCGACTCTTTGGCATCCACACGGCGCACGCTGCGCCCGGAACGCCGGCGGAACCCGGAGCGGCGCGTTCCGCGGCGCGGGTTCCGCACCGTCGGAGGCCACGGGCCATCTGATGACTTTGCTCGGCCAAGTCCTGCGCAGCCGGGGAGAACAATGGCCGAGCTCTGAGGTATCGCAAAAGGGAAGGAGGACATAGGCTTATAGGAACATACCGATCTATAGAGACTTAGTAACTTAGATGATGTCGCCCTACATACCGTTTTGCTCCTTCTTTGTCACGCACCGATTTTCCGAGGATGACGGATGCGAGGAAGACGTGACGGTCTCTCGCTACGACGGGCACGACTGCACGAGCGCACGTCGGTCGCTACATGGAAGAGGCTCATGGATGGGTCACCCATCCCCAAATGATCGGAGCTTCTCTGACCTCGGACCGCCAGGTGTATCCATGTATCCTGGTAGCTCATTCGATGGTATTCCTCGCCCTCGTCGTCGTAACACACCAGCGCGGGATGCGCTTTGCAGGCTGCTGCACGTTGATAGAAGAGTTCGTGGAGCAAACGTCCTCGAAAGCGATGCTATGAATGAAGGCATTCTTGGCTCAGTGCCGGTGAGGATGAAAGAGTGTAAACATCCTCGAGTAGACTGATATCAACCACAAAAATCTTCCCAAACCTAGTTCTGACTGGCAACACTTTAAGCAAAGAACTAGTATATGAACTGGTCAAACAGGTTGATAGCCTCAGTTTCCTAGCAGTGAAGATTCACTGAATGCCAAAATGTCACACGCGTACTCACACGAGTCTTTGAGGGCCCATGTCATTGAAGAAAAACCGTTGATGAATCTGTAGCAGGGACCCCCTGTCGGGGTGTCTAATAATAGCACAAGAAAGAAATTAAGGGGTCTCCATTAACCACCCGAACCGAGAGCCCCTGGTATGAGATCAAAGAATTGGGGTGATCAATGGATTGGACCCATCTCCTGACTTTTGGTCATTGATGAGTCGAGGCCTGACCTCTGTCGGCATCACATGGTCCCATCCGGGCGGGTTTTCCTATCTGCCGAACCGCGCCACGTTGTGGAAAAACAGGACTTCTGGAATAGGACATTCTGCAGGTGAGGTAACACACGTACCAATGGGTGACAGGGGTACTTTTTCTTGCTATCGAATAGAACAAAGAAATGGCACTTCAGAGAAGTTCCAAAATGAATCAAAATGAACATAATCTTTTTAGGTAGGTTGTATCATGTTGTATCAAAAACTCATGCAAAAACGGGTGTCCCAGTCCAGTATCCAAAAACGCTTGATGTTTCACAACGTTCACCACGGCTTCCCCGTTGTTTTCAGCTCCAGCTTCCTTGGTTTGTCCATGGCTTTGAGGTCGCGTTGAACTCCTCGGCCCGCGAGTTGAGAGACCCAAACGAGAAGACGAAGACACCATACCAAATGGGGACTGCTAAGTGCGATATATCATATCACTAATTATTTGGTTACCTATGGTTACCTGTACATTTTAATTAAGGCTTGAAAGAATTCTTTCTGGTCGTCCTTGCAATCTTTTGGACTGAAACATCCTGAACAAGCCAACAAAAAGCCATTGCAAGGCATTGCCATTGCTGAGAACAAAACCGTCCCCGAGTTGAGGTTCAACATTGATCACCTTCAAAGCCCATTGAGGTTCGTGTGCCATTTCACCCACCCGCATGGAAGGCGAAAAAACCTCACGGACCCTTGTTGGATATAATTTTCTTCTTTGTCAAGGACCTTGGGAGACGGTTGAAGGTTGAGGCAAAAAGCACCGAAAAGGGCAACCAAAAACACTGGTGCCGTCCTACTCTTCATGAAGCTCGTCGTCTCTCTGGTCAGAGAAGAAAGTCATGAGGCTGGTCCCATCATGTGCAAATAAAACGAGAAGAACTTTACAAAACTTTTTAACAGAGACTGCTTGCAGCTCTCCAAAGTTCGGAGCAAGTTGCTTCAATCAAAAGCTGCTTCACACTTGGAGGCGGAAATGTCTCACCTGCATGTGTGGACGGTGTCGTGGGAGTGGTCGCTTGGACGGCGTCGCCATGGGGGCAGACTCTGATATTGCTTCTTGGCAAGTCACTCGACTCATGGACGCCATGGGACACTCATCCCCTAAAGTAGTCCCATCATATCCCCTTCCACAGTGGTCCTCTCTTCCACAGCCGCTGTCCTCGATGCACAGTGCGCCTTGCAAGCAGCTGAGCAGAAGCGCCCCAAAGTTCTCGTCTTCACCGTAGAGCCACACCTGCGAGGGTTCACCGTTTCGCACTCAAGGCGCAACCGGTCAATGTGTGTGGTCAATGTCTGGTGATCCCAACGGCTATAACCACCTGGAGACTGGAGGGGCTGGATGTTTCTGGCCTCTGAAGGCTTGCTTGCATGTTTCGCTGCACCCTTTTTGCTTTAGGTTCTGACATGTTGCAAGAGATAGGACATGATAAGGACACTCTTTCCCCCAAAGCAGACCGAAATCAAGCATCCACAAGCATCCTCAGTTCTTTGCTTTGAGGATTGAGCAGGGAGATATTAGTTGAGACACACTGTGGGCCATGTCGATGCCACCGTCCGTCGGTACGACATCGCAGCGCGGTGAAGGGCCCGGCCCGGTCAGCCCGATTTCCCGCCCGTTTTCGGCCAAGCAGCCATCAGGGTTGTACAAATCATCATAGGGGGAGTACCACAGAACTGCTGCAGTGAACTGTACATCATGGTACTCTTTTGTCAAACGTTCAGGGTTGCTGCTGTGGTTCTGCACCTCCCCCCTCCACACCTCACTGGAGGACCACACATAGCCGATGAAGACCTCTACATCTTCCAGCCACTTACCACGCTCTCCCAGGAAGATCAAAGGTCTGCACCCATGGCCTTGACGACAGCTGCAAGTTGGCTCATTGGACGCGGAACTTTCGGTGATTCTGACCCAGTTCATCCAAACTGCTTAGGAGTTGCAAGCGAGTCTGTCACTTGGACCAGCACTCACCGTGAGTGGATCAGCACTCACCCCTGCACCCACGGACCTGCACCCCTCTTCTCCAAGACCTCACCCCTGATCCCCTCACATCAAGCGGATCCCACCGACCTCTCTCCCGATCCCACCGACCTAGAACCGGTACAACTTCACCCGTTCAGGTTGCCCGCCCGCCTGATCTGCTAGGCCTCAGAGATGAGCGATTGGTCCGAGGAAAGGGCATGTTCTCAATCGTTGTGGTTTCTGCATATTCTGTCAGTTGCATGAATTTGTTGATTTTCTCGTTATGACATGCATTCTCTTCGCTGAATCTGAAACTGCTGATTGCATCCAAGCCACATCAAATCCAACTTTCTCCGCCAAACCTTCAAGGCTTCCAAGAGGCAGTTTCCTCTTCCACTGGCCTTCACCACATCAGCACTTGGCTGGATGCTCTCCTTTCCGTCACCTGGCTGCAGCCAGCTGCTGTTTAACTGTTTGGAGGGCCAAAAGATGCCAAAAGACAGTTTGTCAGCTGCCCATTGCAGCCCACCTGTGAAAAACACTGCTTTGAAAAGGCCTCTTTGGACCTTTGTTGGTTCTTTGAGGCCAAAATATCGTGCCAATCATGGACCAACGGTGATTCCAAGGACCAACATGGACCAACCGAGAGGACGGCGCTTCTTCTTCGTCTCCCGATCTCTCACTCCCTCCGCCGGAGCACGATCCACTCGCAAAGGGAGAGGCCCTGAAAGACCCAAAGCTTCAGCCAGGAGCGATGACTGCACCACCACCGTCACCTCGCAGCAGCTTCTTCCGAGGTGAAAACGCGGCGAAGTCATCTTTTTGAAGAACTCTTCAGGTGGCAAAGAAGTTTAAGAACTTCTTGAAGTTGAAGAAGAAAGTTGTTTCTTGTCACTTTTTTCAAATACCAAGTTGAAGCAGAAGTGCTGGAGACTCTCCGTACTTGTTCACTCCTTGCTCTGGTCTCCGTCACCTGAAGATCTTTGGGGTGTTTTTTCTTGACCCAAGGGCCTGTACTCGATGGAAACCACAGGGTCCTCGGAGTCCACACTGGACGTCCACACGGTCCGGTCGGGATGACCATGCAGCCATCCAGCTGCCCCAGTCTTCGCCATGTCACTGCTTCCGCCTGTGCTAGGCGACTGAAGCTTTGGCCCAGATTCTTGGCAGCTTCGAAGACATCGCCTGTGGGCCCAAGATAAAAGTCTTTACCCCCGCTTTGAGCCAGATTGACCCACCATGTTTGGGAATTGTGATGAGGCGCCCTACATGGGCTACATTGCAGAATCTGACGATTTCGCCATTTCACACGCACGTGTACACACATATACCACAATTGAACAGAACATTAGGAACAAATCATGCTGGAAGCAGATTTCTTGGATCTCTATTTTTGTGAGGTACCCGAACGCGACAAACCGGTGCAGTGCTTGGGCGGGTAGGCCCTACATATGCAGATCTGCTACGGAAAGAGGGCCGAGGGCCTCGGGTGTTGAAATCCCACCGAATTCAGCTTTCTCCCTCTTCCAATGGCGGATAAACTAGATGCTGGAAGATGTTCAAAATGAAGGATAAAAAGAGTTAGAAACAACATCTTCAGCTTTCAACTCCACCGCATTTTCCAACTCCAACGGTCCAGTCGCTTTCTTTGACCCGGTCACCGACAGGGTCCCTGCCTACATCTTGGGGCACGAAATCCGAGAGCTTGACCTGCAGTTGAAAGGTCTACCGACCTAGTCGACTGGAGTTCTTTGTCTACCTGGTCTATACCTGTCTATCTGCTATGGTCTATTTACAACTCAACTTTTGCGGGTGAACCGCAGATCTGACATCACTAGTCTTCAAATGTTTTCAAGCCAACCTCTCTTCAACATGCGAGGTCTGGACATTTTGGGAAATCCCAGGAATCAGAAAGCTTGACCACAGAGTTATCCACAAAGTCCAACTTTTTCCCAGGTGTCTCCAACTTTCTCAAAGGTCTCTGGTCAAACCTTCTCAATCCAACTTGATCCAATGGTCACCGGCGTCAAATGGACCCATGCAAGCTGAGCTTGCAGTCACCAGGGGCTTTACAATGGGTAAAACTGGAAGAACACCCGCCATGCTCGGTTAAGCTATAGTTTTACGTTCTCAGGGTTTCAGACTGAGATCCCACCGTTGGATTCTTCATCTTTGTTAACCGGACCACTTCAGGGGTGTCTTCTGCTAGACATGGAACCTCCACAAACGCAAGCAGAGATCTCCCAGTACTTTAATAATAGCCCAAAATAGAAAGCTTTATTGTTGCTAGTAGCGATGGCCTCCAACCTACCTAGCGATACTAGCGATGGCCTCCAACCTACTAGCGATGGCCTCCAAACCTAAGCGCGATGGCCTCCAACCTACTAGCGATGGCCTCCAACCTACTAGGGATGGCCTCCAACCTACTAGGGATGGCCTCCAACTTAAGAGCGATGGCCTCCAACCTACTAGCGATGGCCAACAACCTAATGTTGGATGCTGATTAGCAATAGGGCCCTCTAATGCTAAATGCTTGGAAAAATAGTTCTTGACACCATGTTTGTTTTAAAGGGTTCTCTATTATGCTAACTTGTTGGGGGATTCTAATTGTATATAATCTGAAAAATGAGAGTTTCAATTCCTGCGGAGATCTGTGAATACTATTAAGCCAATAGCTGGCTTGCTGAGAGTATTATTGGTAATCATGGGTTTCTTTTGTTCTTCAAAACTCACAACTCCCCAAAATCATCATTAGTAGACCAGGAAGGCCCCTGATCCTCTGTAATAATTTTGCTTTAAGGCTGATTCTCAACTGTGCAAAGTTTTTCATCAGAAAACAAAATCTAAAACTTAACACTACTAAGCCAATGGCTGGCTTGCTGCGAGTGTGTTTGGTAATTATAGATTTCTTTAGCTCTTTAAACCTCACAGCTTCCCAAAGCCTTCAATTCCTTAATCAAACCTTTATGTAAAGATTGCTCCTAAACAAATTTCAAGGTAGTCGTCCTCAAGATCTGCTGAAGATCTGAGACTGCAAAGGAAAAGGATTGCTGAGAATATCTAATTAGAAAGAACCTCAGAAAGGAAATGCATACTACGAGTACAATCAACTACAAAAGAAATCCTCCCAGGAACCCAGATTTGTTTTGGTGGTAGTTTATTAAAGAGGTCTCACCATTTGTTTGGTGGAGGGGCACCCCCCCTTTACTAATCAAGATCCAACATTACTAGCGATGGCCTCCAACCTAAGAGCGATGGCCTCCACCTAGTAGCTTCTAGTTCTCCAAACCGCACTTTTCCCAGCGGTTGCTTTTTCGTTCGGACCTGGAAGCGTGAGCTCCGCGCCCGCGGTACCACCAAGGGAAGCGGCGCGTCCATCGCCTCCGGGTCACGCGGGTGGACAAGTGCAGCATCACTCGGGTTTCGACCAGGCGATTTTTGGTGGAGTGCGGTTGGAAACACCACAAAAAAAGCGTGAAGTGTCCCATCAGTCACATCTGAGCCAAGCTGAAAACCTTGATAGATTCCTATGTCGTAAGAACTGCCTTACGCGAAAACTTACGCCGCGCTTACGCGACCGCAGTTTCAGCTTACGCGGGGGTGTTGCTTACGCCGCTGCTTATGCCACCTTACGCCATTGCAGGCTTTGCTTACGCAGCATCGATATGACATAACCTGGAAATGTCTGGCTTACGCCAAAGCTTACGCAGAGCTTACGCGACCGCAGTTTTAGCTTACGCGGGGGAGGTTTTCAGCATGGCTCATCTGGGACCAAAAAGGTTGCCCTCATACAGGTCAGTGTAGTTGGTGGCCACAGTGTGATACGCGGAATGCTCGATCTGATCATTCGAGTTGGAGTGTTTGAGAGCGGTTTTGTCCAGGTGGAAGTGGATCATGAATAACATGGGTAAGCACCCATGCCCTCTGCCAAGAGTTTTTGCTGCCACTGTTTCATGCAAATATCAAGAAGGAATTGCCCCTAAGGCCCAACGGCATCACATGCACTGCCCATAATTGTGCAGTCAATTGATGACAAGTCTTATAATGTCATTGTATCTTCTCATTCAACTGGTTGTGGAAGAGTCGTTTCAACCGAACAAACGATCCCAACTCAAACTCAGCTGAGCGGCAGCATCTTTTGGTTACTAAACGCAAAAACACCTAAAAGCACAATCAATCTGTGCAGGCCCTATCTCGTTCAGACGACTTTAGCGTCATCCAAAAAAAAGGAGCCCTGTCTCATGTGGGAGCCCTATCTCGCTCACTAGCAAAATACTGATGTTGGACAAACAACCTTAAGTAGAGCATGCCATAGACGCCGTAGACTACACTAGTCAAGACAAAATAAAAAAGTGCTTGCTCAGCTGGAGGTCATGGCTAGTACGGTGGAGGCCATTGCTAGTAGGGTGGAGGCCATTGCCTGTAGGGTAGTCAGGCCATTGCTAATAGGGTGAAGGCCATTGCTAGTAGGGTGGAGGCCATTGCTAGTAGGGTGAAGGCCATTGCTAGTAGGGTGGAGGCCATTGCCTGTAGGGTAGTCAGGCCATTGCTAGTAGGGTGGAGGCCATTGCCTGTAGGGTAGTCAGGCCATTGCTAGTAGGGTGGGGGCCATTGCCAGTAGGCTGGAGGCCATTGCTAGTAGGGTTGAGGCCATTGCCAGTAGGGTGGAGGCCATTGCTAGTAGGGTGGAGGCCATTGCTGGTAGGGTTGAGGCCATTGCTAGTAGGGTGGAGGCCATTGCTAGTAGGGTGGAGGCCATTGCTAGTCAGCTGGAGGCCATTGCCAGTAGGGTGGAGGCCATTGCTACTGGGGTGGAGGCCATTGCTAGTAGGGTGGAGGCCATTGCCAGTAGGGTGGAGGCCATTGCTAGTAGGGTGGAGGCCATTGCTAGTAGGGTGGGGGCCATTGCCAGTAGGGTGGAGGCCATTGCTAGTAGGGTGAAGGCCATTGCTAGTAGGGTGGAGGCCATTGCTAGTAGGGTGGAGGCC